CGTATTGCAGTCGGAAAAAAAAGTCGATCAAGTAATAGTGCTAGAAAGGTCCAACAAGCATATCCAGGCACCGGACGTTTCTTGGACCAAGCCGTTCAAGGCCACTTACACTAAAAAGGAATGATTGGCTGGGTACCGTGGGAATTCACAAAGAAACAGCTGCTGAAAATTTGAAATTATCCCCGAAATTAAAGTACCATTTTGGAGTGAATTCTTGATTCTTGAGCAGAGCCACCCACAGAGGTGATAAAAAAAAACTCTCGCGAGCTGCATGTTGAACCTTCCCGTGGACAACATGATTCACTGCCCCAAGGAACGACAGCCTTGTGGCAGTGAACGATTATTGCTTCTATCGCAGTTGCAAGTTCTGAGTAAGCAAGGCACAAATCCCTTTGAATGTACCGGTTCTGATTTTGAGAGAGCACATCCGTCATTATATCTTTTGGATTCGGATCATGAAGAGGACAGAGACGTTGAAATTGGGTGAACTATGTTCACTTTATTTCACATTAAGTATTGCAGTAGTATTAACACGCAGATTGTGAAATTGAGGACAAGCACTAGAACGTGTTTTTGTTTTTTAAAATTAAAATGGTCAGTTAGCATACTATTGTTTGCAAAAAGTAAATTGCATTTTAAATAAACGCCGCCCTCGAATAAACATCGCACTTGAATCACGAAAATTTTAATAAACGCCGCGGCGTTTAATCGAATAAATACGATAAGTGAAAACGCTTTATTAGCTCTATATTTAAGAGAGCTCCTTTGTCAGAAATTTTTATAAGAGTTGTTAACAGTCTGTTGGACCAAGTTCTATCCCACCAATCTTTCGATGAAAGAATTTATAATTGGTACCAATCCTGATCTTCCTGCAGCCAGCTAATTTCCCCAAGGTCTTGATCATCCCTTCATATCTAGGGCTCTTCTAACTCATCATTAAGTACTAGGACTTTGCGGAAGTGGGCATCCGCCGGCACACATTACCATTTTAGAGTTATCCACAACAACTTTGTTTACCTCGCCCTTATTGTGTCCCCCCCGCCCTCACAAACCTCCCGTTCAGGAAGCTTTCAGTGATCAAATTTCATTGAATGGCTCTGCAGTTCGCAACAGAAATAACTAGACCCTTTGAGCAGGGTACCTGGGATACCTGGATGGTACTGGATCCTTGGAATCAAGTGTAGTGATACTACGGGTGTAGGACTAGTATACTGAAATAGTGCGCTCAAGTCTGGCCAAGGGCATAGACCTATTTCAAAACATAGGCATGCTATGCATGCAAGAGTTACTTTTTTGTAGGGTGGGTGGATTACTTGAAACATTGTGAGTGATGTCTACATTCTTACAAAAGGAGAGAAGAATATTAATGTGGGAAAGAACGAAAACAGGTATTTTGTGGTAGATTATGTGTGTCTTGCGAATAAATGTAACCAAAAATAAACTGTATTGGTGCCACGGATACCTGTTAGTACAAAATGCAGACAGCAGACTGCAGACCGGATAAAAAATATAGACTGCAGACTGCAGAGTGGGTACAAAATGCAGACTAAGAATCTGAAGAGTTTTTACGTCTGGTATATAATAACATGTCATCTTACAGCTTACCGAGTGTCACGCAACCGCTTTTCTGCGATCCGCCTTCACGATTATTTGCACTATTGTGGAATATTCCTGGCCCATTTCTTGATGAAAATCGATCGCAATATTATTTCAAGCCTTCAATATAGTCTTCTTACTTTGCGCACGAGTTGGTTGGTGTGATGTCTGTACAGATTTTACCAACGTAATAAAAGTAGATGACGTGAATAACAGTGATGGTAAAGCAAGCTTAAAACGGCAGAAATCGCCAGAAAATACAACGGATACACAGGGTGTGAGTAATGAGTAATTTTACGAGAAAAATGTTCATATTTTGAAATGTGTATCGTTGTAAATCGACCATACTTCGTTCTCTGTACTATTCCTTATTTAACGTGCAGTTCCTCTCGTAACTTAACACCGAGTCACACAACGCGTGACGCGTTGGCTTTTTCTCGAGACGTGAGCTTGGGCCGCCTGTGACAAGACAATTGCGTAAACAATATTTAACATAATAACATTTTACACAAAAAAACACAAGGTTTTGGATCACGTATTTATTAAAAAAGAATATCCATACAACTACAATGAAAACAAACATAAGATTTATCTTTCTGATCGTGAAATTAATACCATTCGTACTGTTATCGTAGCTACGTTCCTTGCCATCAAGTGAATCCAACATGTCGTCTTTCTTCACAAGCAGTTTGCATCCATTATAGTTATGTTCTTCAGTCTCACGGTAGTAGCGTTGTTCAATAGATTGCATAGAGTATATGCAGTTTTGTTTCAGATTTCAGATTTTACTTTTTACAACAAGTAACGTTTTTCAACTAAGACATTGGCATACTTAGCATACAAGGCATTCAAGGCTTTCATGGCTTTCAAGCGTTCGCGACTCAATCCGTTCCAAAATTACCGCTCAATAACATCTTTCAGTGTGGATTAGCCGCGATTAATACGACTTGTATATGCGTCTGTAAGTATTTTGCGCGTTTGCGCCATAATGCTCCACGAGATTGCAATCCAAATACGTTGAAATACAAAACAACTGACCAAAAAGTTTTATAAGCAAAATCTCGTGATTCATCATGTGACCCGGCCCTGTCTGTGCATGACAACGTCAATCATCATCAAGATAACACGCGTGATCAGCATGTGAACACCTCATTGGATCCCAGTTGTCATGCCGTTGAGGGATAACACGCGTGATCAGCATGTGAACACCTCATTGGATCACAGTTAGTTGTCATGGTGTTGAGGGCCCAATGACCTCTGGGTACTATTGCGAAATTTTTCCATTTTGTGGCGGAGGAAAAAAAAAAAAAAACAAAAAAAAAAAGACGACAAAAAAACAAAGGCATTTTATGACTGGGCTACCACAGGTATCCCAGTAAAAAACAATGCCTATGAATGTTTTTTGTTTTGGTTTTTAATGAAAGAGAGACGCTCAAAACTTTGAAGTAATGAGAATCAAAGGGCTCTTGGAGCCAGCTCATTCATGTTATGGCTTAGGTTTCCATTGATTTCTTGGACTTGCTGAATATAGGTGCAGTTGAATTCGTTTATGTGAACTTTCAAGACTTTTGGAGTAAATTTTCTTTTATTTTTGGGCAGTTGTGTGATAAGAAAACTTGTGCATTCGTAGTGATGGGAATTGGAAAAAAGAGTGTGTGGGCTGGAGGTGGGATGGGCAGACGTCATTAGGCAGAATACGCCCTCAGTTGGCTGCAATATATCTCATAACGCTGACTGCCGCAGTAATTATCTATTAAATATTCCTTGCCCGTTTCTTGATATCTTTTGTTTTAAACAAAGCGGCCATTGCATTTGATTTTTAACAAAGCGGCCACAATCGTTCCTACCAGAATTTCAAGTCTTCATATAATCTGATTTTTACATATAAATATTTGGGTAGTCACCAAAACGACGAGAGATAAAACCACCAAAAAAGTTCACAAATGGCCAGTCACGAGGGCAACGCTTCGCTTTTCCCTATAAAAATTCTCCGGTTTCTCATGTAAACCGATGACAATATAAGACACATATGTGAAAATCAGTATGTGTACACTTCTGAACGTTGAAAATATATCAAGTCGAAAGAAAGTTTTGGTCTTGGTTCGCATTTTTGTCAACAAAATGAACACATATCGGTTAAAAAGATGAATTTCTCGAAAATTGCGCAGGTTAAATATTCAATAGTGGTATCCATTAACATCCACATCTACTTTCAGTAAGTTGGTAAATTCTGTATAGACATCACGCCAACCAACTCGCGCGCAAAATGAGAATACTGAATGAGTCTTTAAAAAAATTAAAAACGACTGTGATTAAGAGAGAGGCAAGGAATATTCCACAATAGTACAAATAATCGTGAAAGATGATCGCGGAAAAGCGCTTGCGTGACGCTCGGTAAGTTGTAAGATGCCATGTTATCACGTATCAGACGAAAAAACAGTACAAATTCTCAGTTTGCATTTTGTACCCGGTCTGCGGTCAGTAATCTGCATTTTCCACAGAGTACGAAGCCATCCAAGCGCTTGACACTTAAAATTTCAATGACACGGCTGGACACGGTCCTCAAATAACTCCATATTTCTCTTTGAAATATACTAATTCTTCACTGGAAAATATTCTACCTTCATTTATAATCCTCAAGCGCTTCTAAAAAGTGAAAAAATGCCAACGCTCCGTTTCGCTGACCTTGTACACAGAGTGCGAAATTTTCACCAGACACTACCGGACACGGTATTCAAACGTCCGGCAGTCTGACATTTTTCCATATTTCTCTTTGAAAAATACCAGTTTCTATTAGAAGTATTTTGTCTTCATTTAGAATCCTCAAGCGCTTCTAGAAAGTGAAAAAATTTGAATATTGTCCTTTTTTCCGACTCTTCGTAGAGTACAAAGAGATCCAAGCGTAACACTTAAAAAAAATTTTCTTCGGATTCAAAATACTGTAAGGAAACTGTGAAATGACGAACGGCGAATGTATTTACCGTAAAACTGTTGACTATATGTTCAGGATGGCTCTTGAGAAAGACGATTTTAGAAGGTTTTCAGTTATCTGGGAATTTCGTGTTACAGCAAATTGGGGTCGCGGCGCGAGTTGCATCAAGGTTGGAAATGGGCCTTTAACTTGCAACTGTAGGATAAAAAGAGGCTCCGGAAACAACAGTGAAATGAACAAATTCTCCCAGACTACCATTCTTTTTTGTTATAATAGATTACGTATGCATCATTACAGAATATTTTTTCCAGATTGCAGAAAAATGCGTTTCTGGGAGACTTATCTTTTAAAAATTTCCCAGGGGAGCATGCCCCCGGACCCCCCTAGAGGTTCGGGCCTTCGGCCCTCAATTTTCAAGGGTACCTGCCTACTTTAAAGGTAGTGCCCTTCTACTTCAAAGTTGTTTAAGCTGTTAAAACAAATCAAAAATGGTTAGCGTCTTGTTCACTTTGATTGCTTCAGCAATACATGTAGCACCCGCATCACTAATACGATTCCAAGACAAATCCAAATTGGTTAGCGTCTTGTTCACTTTGATTGCCTCAGCAATACATGTAGCACCCGCATCACTAATATCATTGTTTCGCAAATCCAAATTGGTTAGCCTCTTGTTCACTTTGATTGCCTCAGCAATACATGTAGCACCCGCAGCACTAATACCATTCCTACCCAAATCCAAATTGGTTAGCGTCTTGTTCACTTTGATTGCCTCAGCAATACATGTAGCACCCGCATCACTAATACCATTCCTACACAAATACAAATTGGTTAGCGTCTTGTTCACTTTGATTGCCTCAGCAATACATGTAGCACCCGCATCACTAATACGATTCCAAGACAAATCCAAAATGGTTAGCGTCTTGTTCACTTTCATTGCCTCAGCAATACATGTAGCACCCGCATCACTAATACCTTTCCCACACAAATACAAATTGGTTAGCGTCTTGTTCACTTTGATTGCCTCAGCAATACATGTAGCACCCGCATCACTAATACGATTCCCAGACAAATTCAATTTGGTTAGATTCAAACCAGTTCCAAACGACTTCGATAAATGCGAGTGAAAATCGCTTTTTTCTCTTTTACATTCGTTGATGGCCTCCAATACAATTTTGGCACCACGGCCTTTATTTTTGTTGACTTCATTTGTTAAACTCTTTAGAAGAGCCACAACTTGTTCATCGCATTTCATGGCCAAAATTCCACATGAAAACAAAAGTATTTGTTTAAGTTCAACGAAATACCTTGGATCGGAAACTAGTTCTTCAGGTTTCATTTCCTTGCTTTGAATCTGAGAACAAATGAAGAGTGCTGCAAAGAATTCTTGAAAACTTTTATGTAAGAAGGCATAATGCAGTGTTTGTCCCAGTTTGCTGCCACCGGGCTGCACTGACAGAAATCCAAATTCAGTCAGGTCTTTTGCATGGTTTCTCACTTCACTTTCATTAAAACCCAGCTTATCGTCAAGTAAACCATTCAACGCTACCTTTCCAAGGTGATTCAATTGCGGTTTGTAATGGTTTGTCAAGTCTTCGATCGTTTCTAGTAGTCCCTTCCTTTTTCTATATCTTCTCAAAACACATTCAACCATATCCAAGTACAGTTGAGCTCTGCTTTCGGGGAGTGTGCCCTCAAACTCTTCGCATAAAAGGCAAAGAAGTACTGTGTTTAGAGGATTGGCCGCTATTTCTCTAAGGTTTTTATCTCGCGACATCCGTTGCGAGAGCTTGGTGGCTAAATCCGTCCTTTCTTTAAAGTACTTGGTAACAAATCCTTTCACATGGTTTTCAGTGAATCCTTCGATCTGAAGCAGCGCATCACAACATTTTCTCAACTCTTTTCCAGTTTCGTGTCTTGCTGTTGCAGCTATGTGGCATTTGGGGAGTACTCTTCCTTCAATTAATTCGGAAAACATCGACAATTTACTGGACGGTAACTCATCCAATCCATCCAATATCAATAAAATGCTGGACTGATTTTCACGAATAAACTGAAAGAATTGTTGTTTGACTTCTTCATCGATGTCTCGGGGCAGAAGCTGATCATCAATAGCTTCCCAAACGTCAGAATGGATATCTCGACATTTCAGAAACAATACCACTTTAAATGCTGTTGAGCCGCAGCCCTGAGGTTCTTGCTGTTTTGTGGCCCAGTCGTAAGCGTACTTTTTACAATAGGTGGTTTTCCCCATACCAGGTTCTCCTTCAATCAACACTGTTCTCGGCGCTGAACACTCTTCATACGGGTCTAGTATTGACGACATGTCAACAAATACGTCAGTGATTTCTCCTCTCGTTTTCTTTCTTCTGACCACTTTGAGCCTTGTAAAAATATTGCCAAGAAAAAACTGAAACTCTTCACACCATGGAAATGGTGAGAGCCATCCCTCGCGAGTCTTGTACAGCTGGCGAATTCCATTGATAAGCTCAGTTGGATCAAAAACACCTAGCAGTAGCAAAAGAAGTAAGAAATCTAATGAATGCAGCTTTGAAAATTGTGGTCCCTCTCTGGTATTCGGCACTGAATTTAAATATGCGAATGAATACGATACCGTTGCCAAAGAAATTACTACGATGCAAAGAGGTTTTAGTGTATGATTCAAGCTTACTGATTAAAAGCCATTTAGATCATGAATTCAGTTGAACCTACTCTGTTTGTTCGGCTTGAGCGGTGTCTGACAGCGAAACTCTATCGTAAAATAAATTACTCGAGAGATAAATATTCATATCAGAGCCGTACTCTGAGCAAGGCTTTTTCGGGATAGAGCGAGACTACGAACTAATAAATGAAAACCAAACAACGCCTTTCTGTCACGAGGTTTCATCTAAAATGCTGCAGAAAACCGGAGGCTCGCCTGCGATGAAGTGGGAGGTTTTGCCCAGAGTCTTTTCCTCAGGAAATTTAAAATAACCACATGCATCCTTTTCTAACTCATTTTACTCAAGACGCGAACTAAGAATTTTTTAGCACGCGCGATATTTGAATGCTTCTTTTCTTTGGTAGATAAATAACCTGAGAGCTGCGGATTCGCAATTCAGTCGTCCGTCGAGCGAAAAAAGTAAAAACCAATGGTGGTCGGAAAGTGGCCACTTCAAGATTTTCACGCAGTTCCGCTCTCCAGTGTTCTTGTCGCACGAATGACTGCTCGTACCTAATGGTTTCCTATTTTCGCGGGAGTTTCAAAATTAACCTTTTTGCGATTTTCAAAGATTCGCGTACTTTTGACGTGGTTGATGTATTTTCAACCTCTCTCTGTGTACTTTTTTTGCCAAATCGCAAAATTTTTTATCGGACAGTTTGCCTATCATACTCGCGATAAACAAATCGGACTTCCGCTACGCGGTCGTCCGATTTTGTTATTTCTCGTATGGTTACAGACCAAATTGGACTCGACTCAGTCCTATTACTATTACTTATTATGCACACAAAGAATCAAGTCTGACTTGCGTAGCGCGCGCGAGATTTGAACTGCTCTCATAATATGGAAAATAAATCTGAGAGCAGCGAAGTCGTGATTCGATAGTTCGTCGAGCGAGAAAGTGAATGTTTCCCCCTCCAACTTTCTCGCTGCTATTCTCTCCTCTCAAAAGTTCTTTTCGCTGTCTGCTTGGAAAATCATGACCGGAAAGAGTAGAGAGGGACAGCTCGTAGTTTATGACTGCATGGCGAACGCCTCGCTTCCTTGGCTGAATGCATGCTCTCATCGTCAGTGCCTAGCATAGTGCGTCTCTGGATAAATAGTTAGATACATCTTTGGCCAGTTTAAAGCAAGATAAAAGCAAACAGTGGCGATATCATAGTTGTAAGCAACCGCCTTCTATACTTTAATATTGTTCACCTTTATGCAACCGTCGCCCCTACCCGTCCCCCGCATCATCGTTATTTACACCGAACGAATCCTACCAGTATCACCCTCTCCAGGGAGAATTTGTTTTTCCTCCAGTCTTTCCGAGCGTTTAAATTTCCCGCTCGTATGCTAATCGGAAACTTCGACAAATCCCTAATGTGTTACGAAGCTGTTGCGCCTTTGTTAAAACATGGCCATTTAGGATCTTAACAATGTTGAGCCACTTTTCTTGATACGCCTAATACGGATATTTTTCCATGTAGAATTGAATACTCCACAATATGACGAGAGGACGGATTTTGTAATTTTTTGAGAAGTATGCGGGTCACATCTAACCCTATTAGGAAGTTAGGATCATAATGAGAAAGGTAATACGAAAAAAAAGACGATAACCTATCTCGCCCACGATCATACATATGTATGAGTGCTGCCAAAACACCATCAAATCCGAGAGATAGCCAGGGCAGAATATCTCACTTTCCGTAGCATTCCACAGATTACATAGTATCTTCATGTATGGCCAGTGTGAGTGGTGGCCAGGGTATGCTCTTAGATCACTAAAGTACTAAAATATGCTGATTTGCATTTCTCAAGCCGTTTGTCATTTTTTGTGAATATTTAATTATCTTAGCGCAACGCGGCAAAAATAGATCAGGTGACTAATTATTTAAAAACCTAGAAGTTCGTTACGCAACTTACATTTCAAAAGTGTCACCACAGATCGCACTTCGAAGCTTACTAGCCGCATATGGAACACAAATTGTAAGTATAATATTTTTCCCGTCGTTTCAACCGAAATCGACATGTGTAATAACCTTCTTTGTCATATTAATTTAATTTTTCAGTTGACTATACTACTACAAGTGCAAATAAATTCCGTGTACGGTCATGTACGCAAAAATCAGTTAGTGGTGAAATCTTCAACATAAAGTAGCCCTTCAATCACAGGAGCGAATCATATGCCGTGTTGGCCGACATCCAGCTATTACTGCCGCCATGCACAAGAGCTGTGTCGCTCTTAATAATTTTTTTCTGTGATATCTCTTTCTACCAACTAACCTTCTTGTGTGCGATTTTCAACTGAGTCCGTCAGACTACTAAGTTTTTCTTTCACCTCCTTCATTTCAATCTCTATCTTGTCAGTTGTGTCTCTGAAGTTTCTCTCCATAATGCTTCTCATGTTTTCCAGCGAACCTGAAAATTTCGAAAGGTATGCGCAGTTTCACGAGCATATTTATATCACAGCCTCACGTTTAGGTGCAGGTAAAACAATGATTCGTATATCAATATCTAGTCTATTAAGAATAGAAAAACTTAATTAGACGCCCAGGAATCACAGAATTGCACTCCAGAAGTTGTACACGAGTAGCCAAATGTCAACATTTGGGTAATTTCATCATTTTCCACACATAACGCTAGTAACCTTCCAAATATGAGAGTAGATCCGACCAAAATGAAAACATAATGAACCAGCCTACACCGCCGTGTTAACTAGAATATCTACTTTTGTAGCCTTCTGATTCATTCACATTGGCATTGGACAATGTTTTTCGTACCTTCAATTTCTTCAAGCTTGTCTTTGATGCTGTCGTCGTCTTTCTTCCATTGTTTCATCAGTTCACGATAATGCTCCTCGATATCTGGATCCATGCAGTCGTGCTCAAGATTATCGATTTCAGCTCTAAAATGAGTTCCTCCCAGTCTCACCAAAGCTTCTCGTATCTCCTGCCAGTAAGCACTGAAACTTCTGTCATCCACAGAGGCTTGAGAAGCATGGCCGTATACAGTGTTCCTGTAATATTTAACTCTGGCGATGTCATCTGCGATGCCTATGTTTGCAGCTAGGGGAAGACGATCCCATCCATTGGCAGGAGAGCCCAAACCACAGATATTTCTAAGAAGCACCGTTAGAAGTGTGATATCGAAGGCTGCAGAAGACACGGGTGCGTGAGTGGGGTACAACTTTCCCCATTGCGTGGGATTCAGCACTTTCTTCCTCCCTCTGTACAGTGAGTGCAATGTGGCGTAATGCACTGAGGTACTTCCCAAAACTGTATGTAGAGTCACTGGTGGATGTATTTTGTCAAAAGTGGACCGAAGCACCTGAGATCCAACATCCACCAGGAGGCGGCATAGCCTTGCATAGTTGGTAGTTTCTTTCGTGGACGCAAATGGCGAAATAGCCGTAGCCATAATTCAGGATGACCTGTCAAACAGAGAATTGACATTAAGTAATGTTAATTAAACCCATTCGAAAAAAACAAAAAAAACTCCCGATAGACAATTGAGACCGAGAATGGTTTCAAATCGTGATGTCATTTTCTAAATCCTTATGAGCAAGGAACACCAACGAAAGAACCTAATAAGAGATTTAATCTGAGATTTTTCATTTCAACCCAGTTTCTAGATTAAGAAAGAGTTTTGTTTTTCAGTTTACAAAGTAACAACCAGAGACATAAACAGCAGAAATGAAAAGCGATTTGAAAGGTTAAGGGGAAATAAGTTTTTATTTGCTCTCTAGGGCCTTAAACCCGGTCAGTTTTAGCTGGTTGACGTTTGATTCTTAATCATCATCATCATCATTTTGTTTGGTAGTGCAGGTTACAAATCGGCAGCCAGGAAGGCTGATGTGGACCTACAAATCACTGAAATAATTAAATGATATATACTATACTGCTAAAATAAAAAAACTAATCTAAAAAGAGAAACTTAATCTTAAAATTTAGGACATAACTAATAAAATACCTTATTTCGCCTAAGAAGTATCTAATAATAAAAGCAATCATTGCCAGCGTAGCCATTGTAACTAAACCTTAAAACCTCCATAGCTCCAAAACGATCCACAAGCAGATACAAATACATAAACTACAGTGAAACATCAAAGCAAGACTGCAAAACCTACATTTACCACCCTACAAAGATCACTGCTACAACTTGGTCACTTGAAGCACAATTGCAAAAGCATCATCCATCACCATCCCAACAAGGACAAAAACTACATAATCACAAGCAAACTACGTATTTAATCACAAGCAAACTACACTGTGCTGGGAAAATTGTCGTCAATATGGGAATCAGTCTGTTACCAAGTCAGTTAATAGACCAACTCCGTGACTAGACCAGGAAATATCAACACAACAAATACGGAAATTATATTACTTCAGGTCACCGTGTTTACAACAATCACTAAATAGCAACCTACAGCAAGAAGGCACTATCTAGAAAGACTGGTTATGGGTCAACCTGCTAAAACTCCTGTTATACACCCTAACTATCCCAATTTTCATGGGATAAGGAAATACCGGCTATTAATCATTCCTTTCAGAGTAAACCTAAATGTAATTCCTCACAGGTATATAACCTAATATGACACCAGGTTTCCCTCCCAGCAACCACATTCCTGGATGGAGGAGCAGCTTAAAAGGAATTTGTAGATTTCCTCCCTAGTCGCTATTTCGTTATCGCACCTGGGGACATTAAAAGCATTTCTAAAACTCCGTCAATTCATGGTGTCTTTACTTATTGATGATTAGACCAGTACAGTCCTAGAAAACGGATTGCACAGTCACTGATATTAAATGCACCTTTTAAAGCTATGTACTCACTCTACCAGATGAAGGTAACTCTAATTGTCACCAATACGATACAGGGTCATTGAAGCTCATGTACCAGTACAAAACGTGGTTTTTCAGTTCATTGAACTGTGAAACAATAACCTCTAAGTCAACAGACTTAAAAGTCTCAGTAATATTATCACCTTCATAAAAAAAATGTGTCCACTGGCAAAAATGTGTGTCTAACAGCAAAATCCACCTCTTGCAGTTACCACTACAATAAGGGCAAAGAAACCCAACAAACAACCTTGTTCTACATGCAGTATCAAAAGAAAGGGATGCAACCTCCATCTGCAACTGAAACTGCAATGAAAAAGCAGCTAAATGTGATCACAAGCATGCAACACACCTGCACAAGCATCATCCGATCGCCATGCACTCTCATGAGGCCAGTAGGAATATAATTTTTAACAATGGAGCTTAATTCTGCTAAGAGGTTTTCCAATGGTTTTGGTAAACATTATTTTACCAGAAGAAAGATATTTTTATGCCCTGTCATGTACATGCAACAAAGAAGAAAATCAGAATCCCCATGAGAAGTTGAATTTTGGACCTTCAGCCAATTCCACCCTCCGCTAAGCCAAGACCAGCAACTATAGATCTATGGTGAGAAAGGCCATTAATTGCTAGGTTCATATCTAGCACCTCTACCACAAACTGCTGGCAGGTCGTCAACCACTGACATTTATTATTCTGTCAACCGAAATAACCAACTCTGTGACTACACCTTTTCCATATTACTGGGTAAGAGAGGGGAACTCAGACTGAATTAGTAAATTTTTTGTAGTGGGTGATAAACTAGAATGATTATCATCCACAAGCACCATGCAACACAAGTACTTGGTGTCATATTACGTCATACCACGCGCTCCCATCGGACCTGTGGGAAAAAACGTGGTATCGGACCCGCCATTTTGATTTCGCCCATGTTGTCATGTAGTAGCTGTTGCGTTATTGAATAAAGAGTTTAAATGGAAAAATTGTGACATGGATGTCGGAAGTGGGATAGATTTACACCAATAGAGGAATTCTCACCGCTAGAACAACCAAGAAAACCGGTACGTACGATTTTACAGTGTTTACTACAAAGTCCTGTCTTATCGTGCAATTTAGCCAAAAATGAGCGACTTGGTTGGGTTTGAAGTACCAAAAATGGACTGGACCCCTGGCCCAGATTTATTAACTAGATTCAAGAGATTCCGCCAAAAGTGTGAACTGCTACTTGATGGACCGTTAAAAGCTCGAGACGGCACTCAAAAATGCAAATATGTGCTACTATGGTCAGGCGATTACGGAATAGACTTATTTAACACTTGGTCGCTAACCGAAGACCAACAAAAGACCTGAAAGAATACTGGAAAAGATTCGAAGACCATGTTAAACCACAAGCAAACCATATCTTGAACAGATATTATCTACGAGGTCTGAAACAGAATAATCGTCCCCTAGCCACCTTCCTGACTGAAGCAAGGCTACTCATACAGAGCTCAGGTTACCCACCTGACTTACATGACGAACTCATGCGTGACACATTAGTTTTCGGCACCGATTCGGAAGAGGTCAGACGAAAATGCATTGCCCGCGGTAATGAATTAACCTTTGCAAGGGCAAAAGAAATTGCACGAACTGATGAGGCTACCCAGATGCAATTAAAAGCAATGAGTGACACTACAAACCCAAAGCAAGAAGAAGGGGAAGTCAATGCAATCAGCAGAGGAAACAAGCCCAGAAACCAGCCCCACCAAAGGTACACCAGTGGTAGAGGAAACAGACGACGTGACAACAACCTAAGACAGTGCTACAGATGTGGAGACACACCACACACCAAAGACCAGCAGTGCCCAGCCACTGGAGTAGAATGCTTCAACTGCAACAAACGCGGTCATTTTAGCAAAGTTTGCAAGTCTAAAACAAGGTCAGATGTGATGACCCTACAAAAAGAACAACCTGATGGTGTAACAAGTGAATGCACAAGCTACGACAAAGTCTTCCTGGGAACACTAGAAGCCCGAGACAGCCCCAGTACCTCAATGATCGCAAGCATTGAACAAAAAGAAAAACAACGCACCAAAGTCATGACTGAAATACAAGTCACGGTAGACCCCCATGATACACACCTGATACCTATTATCTGCAAGGTCGACACTGGTGCAGAAGTTAATGTCATCTCCAAAGACGACTATGACAGACTCAACCGCAGTTCCCAGCAGATACCCCTTGGCCCAACACACCACAGGATTACTGCGTATGGAGGCCACGCCATCAAGACCCTTGGAACCTGTCCACTATACGTCCATCAAAATGGCAGCATTAAAGAAGTCGTTTTCAATGTTACTGACGTACCAGGACCTACAATGCTTGGCTGTAAAACCTGCGAGGAACTTGAGCTGGTAAAATTTAATTGCAGCCTAGAAACCTCCAAAGAAGACAAAGAGACCCGCCTTAAAGAACACAGACCATGCAAACCGCACCAAAGGACCAGCAGATACCCTAGCCGTCTAGACACTGAAACATACCCCCACTGGACAGGATAACCTTCTTCAACAACTTCGAGACTGCTTTGAAGGCCTGGGAACCTTCAATATGAAACCTTATCACATCACCCTAGACTCCAATGCTGAACCTGTCATCCACGCACCACGTACCGTACCAGTACACCTTCGAGACATGTTTAGAAAGGAAATCAACACCATGGTAGAACTTGGAGTGCTCATACCCGTAAGCGAACCCACAGACTGGGTTAATAGCATCGTCCTCTCTGAAACAACCAACGGCAAAGGAGAAGTCACCAAAATCAGAGTCTGCCTCGATCCACGTGACCTAAATAAGGCAATAAAACGCGAACACTACTACACCAAAACAATTGATGAGGTAGTCACACAGCTTAGTGGTGCCAAATTCTTTAGTGTAGTTGATGCCAAAAAGGCTACTGGCATGTACCATTAGACGAAGCCAGCTCCTACCTGACTACTTTCAACACCCCGTTCGGGAGATACCGTTTCACCCGGCTCCCCTTTGGCCTTATTGTATCACAAGATGTGTTCCAGAAACACTTAGATTCAGCACTGGAGGGCCTGAAAGGAGTCACCGGCATTGCAGACGATACATTCATATACGGAGCTACAGAGGAAGAGCACGATGCGAACATGGTAAACCTCATGATCAGATCCAGGGAAAGGGGAATCAAATTCAACAAAGACAAAGTACAGCTCAAATGTCAGGAAGTCAGCTTTTTCGGCCACAAATGGACCCAGGATGGAATCAAACCAGATGACAGTAAGATATCTGCAATCCAGAAGATGACCCCACCTGAGAACCGCAAAGACCTCCAAAGCTTCTTAGGCCTCGTAAACTACCTTACAAGATACTCAGGGCGATTGGCTAGCCTCACAGCACCACTGCGAGAACTTACCAAGAAGGACACCGCATATGTATGGGGACCTGAACACGACGACTCATTCAACCAAGTCAAACAGGAAATCACATCAATGGGAGTCCTCAGATACTTTGACCCAAACATCGAGTCTGTCATTCAAACTGACGCTTCCCAGAAGGGGGAGTAGGCGCCGTCCTTTTGCA